TAATGAATACTTATCTATTCAGAGAGAAGTCCTAGTGTGTTCAATGGGATCTATCTTCAGGGAAATGTGTCTGGGATTGCAGCTTCATGCACAATCCTATTCATGTGTAAACGGAAAAGAGGGCAGTTAAGCCCCGGCAGGGTTGGCTGGGGCATGCTGAGAATAGCAGGCATTTTTCCCCTGTCTAAATATGCATAAAATTATGCTTTTAGACTACCCTATCTTTTTTCTAAATTTTCTGAGTGACGTGTTTAGTGCAGCTGACCCACACAAACAATACATAATCTGAAATAACTTTAGTCTTGCAGCCTTCACTGTGACAGACGGAGAGCAAAGTGGGGCTAGGAGAGGGCACATTTCCCCCTGTAAACCAGGCTCTGAGAAGACAAGAATATATATTTTTTCTGAAAATTTGAAAATAGGAATTGAACAGAAAGAGAGTTATTTTTCACCCGTTAGCATAAAATCCTGAATCCAATGAAAATGATACCAATTAGGCTGGAGTCAGTGGAGCAGGGATTTAATTGTCAGTCTAGGTTTGGACAACTTGCATGAAGGAACACCTGCAACAGTTGTGATTCCACTTGTCAGCAAAACATACATTTCAGTGCAGTAGCATTTTAACTTCTAGCAAACATCTCTCAGTGCAATGGGGGTTTAAACTCTGGATTAGTTCCAAAGCAATATTGTTTTCTAGAATAACAGAAAGGGAGGTAGCTTGGAGTAAGTCCTACAATTGGATCTCAAAGAAATTCAGTGAGTTACATACTCATCTTGTTCCCTAATGATTCCAGAAATGCAAAGGTGTAGAACTGAGAATAAAATCAAACTATCTGTGCCGCTCATTATTGTGTGTGTGTGTATGTGTGTGTGTGTGTCAGATTTGTTCCAAGAGACCGCCAATATCTGGAAATTCATGTTGGCCAGTCTGGCAGTACCAAATAATGAGAAGAGAGAATTCACCAAGGTTGGCAGAATACGAGACCCTCATTGACAAGTGTCAGTCTTTGGGAAAGTTGTGGACTGAGTCAGTGAAATTCTAACTTGATGGGAGCATTCCAGAAACAAAATTATCCCGATCAGTTGCTAATTAAGTTTCTGGTTTCACTGCCTCCTCAAATTATAATACACCCAGCAAAATGTCTTTTGTAACTGGTGGAGATACTCTGAGGAAAGCCATTCCCAAGGACAACTTTTGCACACTGCTGCATGCAGTGTGTGTGTTCTGGACAAGGTGCTTGCTGCATGGTCCTTCTTTTTGTGGTTCTTGCTTTACTTGACCCATGGCACTGAAAAGGACCCCGAACGCATTTACCGTGTTCTGTCAGGTTGGGCTGAGAGCAAGAGGGCAGTGATGGGCAATGGCAACAGCACGGACAACACTGGCCCATTCAAGGAAAGGCTGGGGAGTCCATTAAGGCCATCTTGCTCAAGAGTTCTCCAAACTCCGGAGGTGGAACTGGATTTAAGGCAAATGCAGTGTCAGCTAAAACTCTTCAGAAGGAACTAACACCTGGCAGTGCTCCTCTTGATCCAGTGTTCATGACTGGGCATCTCTTTGAGGTCCTTTGAAGTCTGACTTTTTCTTTTGTTGGTGCCACTTTTCCTGATGCCCTGATTGGTTGCAAAAATCACTTGCCATAGAAATGGTGGCATGATGGCAGATGATAAGACCAAAGTGGTATGTCTATGTCTAGAGGCAATCAATTTTCTTCTGGACCCTCAGTCGCTGGGTGGTAACAGCAGGGCTTGATCTAGGGAGCTGAGGGAGACAGTTGCCCCTCTCCCCGCAAGCATTTTAATTGTTTTTACCACTGCTGTGTGTGGAAATTGCCTCCAAGGAAGGCAGCTGCTCTCACCATCTAGGCATTTAAGCAGTGGTGTTAAGCATGCTTATTCCTGTGTTGGATCCTAAATCTGTCTGTCTGTAATACCTGCCTATCTGTCCTTCTTTTCTTCCTTTCATCCATCCATCCATCCATCCATCCATCCATCCATCCATCACCTGCCAACTCTGGCTGGTGCACGGACAGTAGAAAACGCAACTGGAAAATCTACCTGCATGTAGAGCGACTGGTAGTGTAGCTTATGATTTCCTGGACAGGTGTTTGGGGATGTGTGATTTTTGGTTGCAGCACTGCTAGGGATGGTTTTGATCAGAGTTGCCACCGAATTCCACATAAAATGAAACTTTTGATTATCTCAGAGGTTTTTCTTAGGCAAAGTTTCTGAAAAATATGGGGGAAAGACAAAGGAGTTTTCCAAACTCTCTGGATCCCCTGCCCTTTCAACACTGTTTGCCTAAAGTGAATTATGAAGCAAATTTGGAAGTTCTTCCTCTGGAAAAGCATTTGGGGAGCCAAAGAAAATTTCATAAGATTAATGAGATTGCCCAAGGTATGTTTCTCACATCCTTCAACATTTTATGCCACATTTTTAGCTACACAATTGCGGTCCCAAATGCACTTACCTGGGGGGAAGCCCCATTGGACACAAAGGGAAATATTCATAGGACTGGAGACTGAAAGTTACCGACAGTAACTAGAACTCAACACTAAGAAGTAAGCCCCCCGGGATCACCGACGATCCCGCACAGGTAAGGCAGCCAGAGATTCCAGCCTAAGCCTGGCTGAGTGGGGTCAGGGAGGGGTGGTGGTGCCACTTTGTCAGCAGAGGGGAATTCCACTGGTGGGGCAGCCTATGTCCCACGGGCTGGACAGCTCCACGGGTGCAGGCATGCCCCTAGCCGTGCTTCTGCCAGCAATGGGCCCCTGGAAAGAGCTTTCCGGGATGGGCTGGAGGCAGCTTTGGATTCAGTGGGCCCAAAGTCCATTTGTTTCTCTGACAGGCCTCTGGCCCACACAGCTTGGGAAACAGCAGCAAAGTCCACCAGGGACTTTTCCTCTCCACACTTAATTTTCCATGCCCATTAAAAATAGTCTTTCTACTGTGGGACTCCTGTGCTATTGAATTAAAACTGAAAGACTCTTTCTTTCCGAGACCAAGGGCAGTCCCATGGCAGTGAAGTCCAACTAAATTCGTTTCAACAGTGCAGCCACATGGGGCTCTTTTACTTGGCATGAGGAATGGGATGGAGAGAAGTGAAGGAATGCTGCCAAACGGTGAATACGGGACTGGCTCTTTCTTGTAATAATTTGAGGACAGATGTTGACTTCCCCCTCTTCCTCCTGTTCGGGGGCATTTGTTCTCCTTAAACCCATTAGTTGGTATCTGTAACTTTGTTGATTTAAACTCCAGCTGAATTCTAAAAGGCTCTCTATACAATGACTAACTGCCCAAATCCATTTTAATCACTACAGAAAACACAGTGACACACAGAATGCAAATGTAGGGAGATCAAATAAATAAAGGATTGTGAATACTTAAAATGGCATACTGCTTTAAGCCAAAACTTGCCCATTCCTGTTTTCAAGGATTCTAGCATTTCAGTTTTTCTCACTGTCCTTGGGGTGGGCTGGGGGTGACGTTAGTGGTTCAACTAGACCTTTAAGGAAGGTATTTCCTTTCATTAGTCAGGCGCAAAATGCTAGAATTACATAGGCATGGCTGTGCAGTGCCAGTGTGGGAGGGCAAGGCGGATGGTGGTGCCGAGGCATTTTCCCTTGGGATCTGTCCCAGTTCTTATTTAGATCCGTGATGTGCAGTGAAGGGCTTTGCACTGGCAGAAGAATCACTTGAAACTTAGGCAAAGTAGGTCAGCACCATTTTGATGTTTTGATGTAGGACCAACAAACCAGCATTTCTCCAAAGGCATTGAACAAATGATGGCTACCATTGACTGATGCTCAATCATGATGATGGTGATGGTGATGAGGGCACTTTTGCTTTGAACAATCAGGACATTCTGTGTTCCTCTGTGGCAGAAGAGCTTTTAGGGCTTGCAGGGCAGGGGGAGGCTAACCTGTAAGATTTGTCTTTATAAGGCAGGAAACTGTAGATAAATCAGCAGTAAACATTCATTGGCACTATGATTAAATCTATTTTTAGTTATTCAGTGGCTTTTTAGCCTATTTTGTACAAATGAGGTATTTTCTTTTCTCGAGCAATTAAGAGGGATTTGTTTTGTTTTGGGATTTTTATGAGATGAAGGGGAATGGGACAGATGGAGAACTGTCCCACCAACAGCCTTTGTTTGTGGTTCAAAAGATAAATTCTCATGCCCTTCCAGTTTCTCTTTGCACAGGTGGGACAACAATGATAACACCAGCATTCCTATACAGGTGAATATTCCAGTCGACCTTGGTGTTGTGGGCAGTTCTCTTTGTGCATGTGGAGATGTCTTTGAAATTGGGTTGGCCTGCTAACACCCTATTAAAAGGATGTGGTTTTGTCATGGTGGCGAGGTATAAGTGCTCCCCCTCCCACGGGTCTAAGGGATTGGATGAGCCTGAAGTACAGGCCTAAGTACATGGAGCTGACTTCAGGCCCTCCTTCCCTCTCATTGTGAGGGGAAATAACACTGCTGGGAATTGATCAGACTCATGCCCACCCCTGTGTATGGATGCCAAGATCAGACGAAACCTAATAACCCAATGCCACAAGGAAGGTGCATGCCTGGATCTTCAGCCCCAGAATGACGGCCCTCCTGGGCATCTACCTGCTGGAATCAACAGGTCTCTGTGCATCTGAAAACCTTCTGTTAAAATCATGGCATTAAGCACAGGAGCTGAACAGGCTTGAGGACTGGCCTTTGAAACCACCAGGGATTGGTTCATGTCTCAGATTATTGTGAAGAAAATAAGGCTTTGGACTGGGACTCTTACAGGAAAACAGACTGCCACATGATGCCATGTCATAATACTGTACTGGGTGGGAATGGCAACTGAGTTCAAAACATCAATGATCAACAGCTTATAGCTCAGCTGACTGCAGACAAAAAAACAACACACACAGTACTAGAGCATTTGTTCACTGGTGCACACAATGAATTTCCCAGTCACCTTCCCTTCTTCTGCTCTGCCATGTCTTCTTGCTCTTGTTCCCACCATTCATAGCTACTGCTGGATGAACGGGATACGCTCTTTGTTCTCATTGTCCCCCTCGTGGTCCTCTTCCTCTTCGCCTGCTTCGCTGGTTTCTGTGCTATCATTGGCCATCTGTGGTTGGAACAGAACAGGCCGAGAGGCCAAGGAAAGCAGGGTGGATGAGAACTCTTTGGCCAACTGTGCGCAGTCAAGGGGCAGAACAGCCCTACTGGAAGGATTCCCAGTGCCAAACGGGGAACCCAAAGTCTGGTGTGGTGCCCAGTGAAAGGGTGGAAAGGAGCACCATCTCCCTCCCCGCTCCTCCCTCCCCCGTCCCTTTTCCCCTTCACTATTTCCTTCTCCTTGCTTGCCGTGGGAGGGGAGTCGTGTACTGCAGTTCCAGAGCAGGCCTCTATTGCTCTGAATCCCAGGGCTGTGGCAGTCACCTGATTCTGCGGTCACACCCACAGCAGGGCACACCTTTGCCCTGCGAAGCCAGAGCTCTGATGCCAGGCAACCAGTTTCCAGTCTCTCCCTCTGAGGAGGCACCTCTGTCTCTCCCTTTCTCCTTGTAGAACCTAGTTCTTTTTGGATTTTAAAGCTTGAAACCTTAAAATGGTCTATCTCAGCTTACTCAGTGTTGTTTTTATCAATGTTTCTTGTTTGGCATTTCTTATTTTTAAAATACCTGCACAGCACCCAGTGCACTCTGATTATTGGGTAGGCTACAATTGAAGTGTGAAATAAATAGGTAAGTTGGTACTTCTTTCTACTTACCAATGGTGTAGGTGTCTTCTCCACATCCAGGATTAATTTGCCTATATTACCTCTGTCATGGATTCTTTGCATGGCTTCCTTCACCTATTAGACAAGAAATGCTAACATTACATCCTAGAGCAGCACTTGTGAAAGGGACCTCAGGGTACTGGTTGACTGCAGGCTGAACATGAGTCAGCCGTGTGATGCGGTGGTCAAGAGGGCGAACGCCACCCTTGGTTGCATAGCCAGAAGTGTGACTTCTAGATCAGGAGAGGTATTACTACCACTCTACATGACTCTGGTGCGCCCTCAATTGGAGTATTGCGCTCAGTTCTGGGCCCCTCATTACAGAAAGGATATAGCCAGGTTGGAGTCAGTGCAGCGTAGGGACACAAGGTTGGTGGCAGGTTTGCAGGGGATGCTGTATGAAGCGAGACTGAGGGAACTGGGTCTCTTCAGCCTGGAGAAGAGGAGACTCAGAGGGGATATGTTGGCGACATACAGGTATGTGAGGGGATGCCACATGGAGATGGGTAGAGGCCTGTTCTCCCCTGCAGAGGAAGGCAGGACATGCTCCAACGGAGTAAAGTTCAGGGAACCAAGGTTCAATTTGGATGCCAGGAAGCATTTCCTGACAGTTAGGACCCCGAGGGTATGGAATGGGCTTCCATGGGGTGGTTGAGGCCCCATGGGTGAGAGTGTTCAAGGATAGGCCAGACATGCACATGGTGGGCATGTCGTGAGCGAAGCCGGCTGGGGCCGGAGGTCGGACTAGATGGCCCAGGAGGCCCCTTCTGACTCGCTCTGTATCTCTGTTTCTATGTTTCTAAATGTGAAGATACTGAATGTGAGCAGTTGAGAAATGTGTGGAATAACATTCATGATCTGGAGAGGAACCAGTCACATTTGAAAAGTGAGGAAGGATGCAAAGGGGGCAGTCCTAAATGAGCTTGCCAGGAAGGAAGCCCCACTCCATAGCCACATGCTTTTCATGTGCATCTTTACAGCACCGTCCCCTTGACCCCAACCATGACGCCTGAAAGTCCCTAAACTTGGAGGCTTATGTGGATCCTGTGCGACACACCCTGATTTCTCTTCAGTTGACCATTGTTGTTTTTGTTGTTCTTGTTGTCTGAATCAGCCTTCCCCAACCTAGTGTCTTCCAGACACGATTGGACTGCTACACTCAGAATTCCCAGTCAACGGCCCTGCTGGATGGGAATTCTGGGAGTTGCAGTCCAAATGCCACTGAGGGCCAGCAGACTGGGGAAGGCTGGTCTAGATGAAGCACTGGGAAGAGAGGCAAGGAGCCTGGGACGGCCACAGGAATTGAGGTGTGCTCTCAGCCTCCTGTTCTCACACTCCCTTGTTGAGGCACGTTTCTGAGCTAAGGGAGGCAGCTGGCATGGTTCTTTCCGGCCACCTGTGAGGGGGCCAGGTAGGGCTCAGCCTACGCAGTCCCAGCTCTGAGACTGGAGGATCTTGGAGCTGGGCCTTCACATCATTCTATCCACCTGGCCCCTCTGGACAACATCATCCAGAGGCCATGGGAGCGCACCCACATCCTATCGGTGCTCCCACCATGCAGTTCTGTACCCGCTTCATCATGTCAATTCGATGAAATGAAATGGGTCTTACTCCCAGTTAAATACTTTTTATGTAACATTGTGATGTTTTATTGTTTTAATCTATATTGTACATTATTGCATTTATTACTGTTGCTCACTGCCCAGAGAGGCTACTGGGCAGTACAGAAATTAAATAACCAAAGCCTGTAGCCTTATTTTATTAAAACAGACTTTACCTATGAGGTATCATAATCTCAGATGCAAGCATATGATAGATGCCAAGATTGTGACAAGGAGCAAAAATAAATATAAAAGGGAAATTAACGGTGCATGGGGCTAATGTGCCTTCTCCTTGCTTGCCTCCTGGCCCAGGGAGGGCAAGTGAGCCATCCAGCAAAAGCAAGAGGAAAGAAGCGGGGGAGGAGGGCGAGGAAGGCCTGGGGAATGGGCAGAGGGGAGCCGGGACTTGCTGTGTTGAGGACTGGCCATGGCTCCCCGTCAGTGGCGTCGTGTTCAGTCCTGAATCAGAGCCACTCCCCACGACAGTCTGCATAAGCAGCCCACAAGCACAGTGCAAACATTCAGGCTCTTGTGTCGATTCCTATCAACAAACCAGTCCCAGCGGTTTTTACCTCTGCCAGGAACAGATTTTATTCTAAAGCAAACGGGTCTTATTTGCCCATTCAAGAATAAGCCAGCACAAAATACCTCACATTAAAATAGGGAACGATATAGCCTTGCTGGAGAAATTAACTTCCACTCAGCTGCCGTGAGGATTGCAGCTGAAGCTCAGAGAGAAAATGGAAGTCTGAAAAGGGAAGCAAACGGCATCGGCATCTTTGCTAACAAAAGTGCGTTTGTGTTGTTGCCCTCCAAGCCTGGCTCCACTGCACACTCGCTCCCCCAGCAGTGCTGCCCTCTGCCCTGCTTTGGAAAAAATGGGGTCAAAATATGGGGTCACACTGAAAGAAACCATCAGGGGGTTTGCAAAGCTATGTCCCCCACAATATGCCAGGTGACTCTGCCCCATCCATGCTGCACACCTGCTGCTGCTGCTGCTGCTGCTGCTGTCAGTCAGCCTTCAGAAAGGCTACGTAGGATTGGCCAGACCATGATTGCTTTTTTTCCCTCAGAAGGACATTCTTTGAAGCAATAGCAGAGGCCTGGGCAAAACACTGATTCTGCCAGGGAGGGGAGGGAGTGTGCGTGGACCGCCCTTCCCACAGTCCGTGCTCTTCAGCACCACTTCTGCAGACAGCAGTGCTTCCCAAGTCCCTGAGGAACAGGCTGGCGGTGGGGATTTCAGCAGCAGGCGCGGTGAGCTGCAAGGAAAGCCTTGGAGGGCCACATGTGCGCACGGGGCTACCCACTCATGCTTTGTAGAGCTCTTCCAGAGGTGACCCAGACTGGGCCCAAAGCACCTGCTCATTGTGAGAGCGATGAAGTGTTGCCTTCTAATGCACTGCAGAGCAGGGGTTCCCATCCCCCAGGCTACGGACCACTACCAGTCCGTGGCCCGTCAGGACCAGCAGGAAGTGAGTGGTGGCCAAGCAGGCAAAGCTTCATCTGAATTTGCAGCCGCTCCCCAGCACTCGCATCACCTCCTCAGCTCCACCTCAGACCATCAGGCCTTAGATTCTCTTAGGAGTGTGAACCCCACCGTAAATTGTGCATGCAAGGGATCTCGGTTGCGCGCTGCTCATGAGAGTCTAAGGCCTGATGGTCTGAGGTGGAGCAGAGGCGGCGATCTAGTGCTGGGGAGCGGCTGCAAATGCGGATCATCATTAGCAAGCGGCTTGACTGCACAGAGGCCATGATAAATCAGCTGCTTGCAGACTCATCACACAGTCCTATCAGTGAGTGGCAAGTGACAGTGCAGCTGCATCTGCTGGCAGGCTTTAAGTCAGAATCCAACAAGTATTTAATCTGCGCACAGCCCGCCCATTCTTTTATTTGCCACTTCCACCCCTGCCTCTTTCCCACCCTGTGCAGTTGTCTCAGTCACCGTCTAATTGCAGGAAAACGAGTTCAGGGCTCCCACTGATTCGGCATTAGGGCTGTATAATTATTTCATTATGTATTACAATGTAATGATAATAGAAATAAAGTGCACAGTAAGTGCAATGTGCTTGAGTCATCCTGAGGCCACCCCCCTGCCCCCGTCCATGGACAAACTGTCTTGACAAAACCGGTCCCTGGTGCCAGAGAGGCTGGGGACCGCAGCTCCACGGCAGGGGCAGTGCGCAGCTAGTGGCGGGACCTGGGCATCTGGCCCTGCAGCTCCCATCGCACGCGTTTTCAAAGTGTGCAGGTGCTTTGTCCAAACCTCCACTATTACTTTAACAAGCATATCCTTGCAGAAAAAGCAACAGCCATCAGTTAAATCCTACATATTTTTCAAGGCTGATTGACAACAACTCTAGCCATTTAGTCTTTCTTAGCAGACTATAAATAACCCTCCAAGGGTGCAGAACTTGGAAGGATCAGCAAACACATTAGACTGTTAGCTGAAACTTATAACCAAAATCCTACAATAATTCACCTGCCAACAGAAAGAAAGGAAGGAAGAAAGAGGCAGTGGGATTACTCATAAATAAGTGGTTTTGGGCCTGCAGCCAGAAATGGGTGGTTAGAGTAGATGCGGCATGTCGTATCTCATGCTCGCTGCAGGAAATAAGCTTCCCTTGCATTTTTCCTCATTTACAATATCAGGTTTAACTCTCTGGAGAAAGGCTCAAGGTGTGTTTCCAGGCAAGATCCCAACAACTAAATAGGAACAGAAGGTGCTAGAAAAGAAAACCATTTCCTTCCTTCCTTCCTCCTTCCTTCCTTCCTTCCTTCCTTCCTTCCTTCCTTCCTTCCTTCCTTCCTTGAGATCCAGAGGGATGTGGCTACAAGAAAAGCAACATATGATTGAACCAAAGACCTCTCTGATCCAGCGTTCCCCTTGTTCAGCCTACCGGATGCCTATGAGACGTGCCCGATAGCAACCTTGCATTCATGCTCCCCCGTAACTGGTGCCCAGCAGCCTACTGCCACTGGTTTTGGAAGTAGCATATGGCCATCAGGATGAGTACCCAATGATACCCTTTTCTTGCATAAATGTGACTAACCCCTTCTAAAGGTATCCACTAAATCTTGTGGAAGCAAAGTAATGCCATTGTTTGATTATACATGGTATGAAGAAATACCTCCTTTTATCAGTTCTGAATCTCCCATCCTCCAGGAAGAAAAACCTCTTCCTGTTCTCTTTTCTGTCCAGATGCATTTCACTGGAGACACGGCCAAGATCATTGCATTCCTGAGCACTATGTTTGGGTGTGAAAGGTGGACAGTGATGAAGGCTAACAGGAGGAACATTGAGGTGTTTGAGACCTGGTGCTAGAGGAGAGCTTAGCAAATACCCTGGACTGGCTGAAAGACAAACCAGTGGGTCCTGCATCAAATCAAGCCAGAAATTTCCCTGGAAGCAAACAGGGTCATACTTTGGGCACACTGTGAGAAGGGAAGCTCTTTGGAGGAGGCAACCATGCT